AACATGGTCGCTCTTTCGTATATGGCTTTCGTGGTATGCAGGACCATCTACAAGGCTTGGTCAGGCTTCGCGAAGTGGGCTACTATGCCGTTGTTTCAGATGAAGGAGAACTTCGCACTTGGCCAACGCTATGATGTGCTTGGAAAGTGGGGATCATTGGCTGTAGTGGACAGAGAGACTGGTGTGAGCAGGGATGTGACTGATGAGGAGATCATTCGCTTTGCCAAGGAACCTGAGAACCTCAAGCAGTATGATCCCAACGGGACTTACACTTTGAAGCGCTTCCGGACGAATCAGATGCTTTCTTTGCTTACGCGGGGAGCCAACATGATGGGAATTGGCAGGGACAACTTCAACCCTACTACGTACTTGAAGAGCAACAGGGATGAAGATGTGAAGGCTATGCACTTTTGTTGCCTGAACGTCCTGTGCGAGGTGATTCCGATGGTGACAGGACACCAACAATTCTCAGTGCTACGACCAACGCCAACTGGACCGGTGGACTTCTTGTACATCGACCCCGTCGGTATCCTGCTGACTCATGCCGATCATTCAGTCCAGACCATCGGATTGCTGGTGGACCACAATGTGCAAATGCCTGCGCATTTCATGGACAGATTGAACAGATCCAAGGCTGAGAGGCAGCAAAACCCGACGACCAAGCGTACTGAAGCCCTACACCACATTTCGGCCGCTGACTATCTCCCTCCAGGTGGTACTTCCATCCTGGACACGCCTGTCACTACGGAGGAACGTGCAAGCGCTTCTTCGGCCAAGGGACCTTCAAAAGGGCGTGAGAGAACCGGAGGTGAACAGCATGGAGGCTGGAACGCCAACACCTACTATGACTACACCGCCGGCAAAGGCCGAAACAAAGGCAAGGACAAAGGAAAGCAAAGGGAACAGTATCCAGAGGAAAACCTCCGGCCCTGGGACCGCGATCCTGCGACCACGCGAAGATGGAGATGAATCAACGCTTGGTCTTCCTCGCCTATCAGTTCGTGACCTCTGAGCTTCGCCCATGGAATGCCATCGCGAATGCTTCTTTCTTCGGTGACGCCTGATTCGTTTGCCATTTCAGGGGATCGTTACTGACGTAGATGAGTGTCACAACGTTTCTAATTGGGATGCAAAGCTCTGATTTTCAATGTCAACGTTGCGGCGGAACATTTTCTGTTGTCCTATCGTGCCATCTTCCGGGTGAGCAGCGTCGGAGACGCAACTCATGGGGGGTGCGAACGGACTGCGATGCCTTGTCAAGTTCTAAGGTGTCACTATAAGAGCTGTGAGCAAGACCGTGTAAAGTGCAAGAGAAGGGGGCACGCTACGCGTCCCTCGACTCTAAGGGGGCACGCTACGCGTCCCTCATCTTTACCTTTCTATGTGACCGCCCACGCAACGTTTGGCTCAAGTCAATGCCCATAGCTAAGTGCTATAAGTGTCTTCTATCCTGAGCAATCAGAGCTATCCCGTTGCACAGACGAACCGCCGCCGGCAGTGAGTGCAAAAGGAACGGCCACCGGTTCTGCCTGCATAGGATTGCACGTGTGGAAGTGTGAGAGAGACAGGGTCCAGTCTGTGGAGAGTGCAAGCCAGCCACACCTACATTCATTACAGCTCTGGTGGGGAGAGCAGCAACCTAGTCGAGATCAATCCCCCACGCATAGGTAGTAAGTAGACTTATAAGTACGCCTTAAGGGACCCTAATTGGGGTTATGGTACTTGTAAGTCCCTAAAATAACCAGTTACCAAGTCCCCCGACCCTCCAAGTACGTAATCTTTGTCACCGTTGATGCTCTTGTCATTGTCAGTACTGGCACTGTATGATCGTTCGACGTTGTGACGCTTCCTGTTGCAGACACTTACTGATGTCCTGAGTGTTGCCAAGAGTCGGCTGTTTCTTCGCTAGTGGCTCAAAAAAGGGGTTTGACAGTTCAGTGTTTCGCGGTGTAGGGCTTCGACAAATCTTTTGTCGTCTTGTTTCATGCACCTGTTAAAAATATCAATGAAGACCCTAAATTTAACTGGTTGCTTACGCTCCGGCATTGTGGCGTTGGGACCGATAACTGGCCTTTTTCGATATGTCTACAATCGCTGACAGGTAGTTCGTCTTAACCTGAGGCATTGCCACACCGCTGCCCGAACTCCGAACAAATGCTTCAAGCCTAGTCCAAAAGCACTTGCGGGTTCGGGGGCCAACTCTCTACCGTGTAGGTTTCGGGAAGTATTTGTGAAGTGGCCACCCTGTCAAGACAACTTGAGAACCTGGTGCAGCAATTGAAAAAACCCTAAACCCTCGACCGCTGAACAATAAAGCCTCAAACTCCTGCTGAGGCGCCTGCACAAACCCCCACATCCTATATGGGAGTTTCCGAAAATTAGGGGTACCTTCTTTTGGGGGTCCTTATAATAAGGATCCTACTATTTGGGCGTACTATATTAGGGTCCCCTGTTTTCGGAAATCCCAAATCGGAAAGCCGCCAAGACATTCAGCATCCATACTCAACGGTTCCTCTGCACCTCAAACTCCAGCAGCTACTTATCGGCTCTGAAACTGCATCTAACTTGTGGAGGGTTTATCAGAGGCCTCAAGAGGTAGGATGAAGGTAAGTGGGGTATTTCCAAATAAGAGTCCTAATCGAAGGGATCCTTCATCCTACCTACCTTCATCCCCCCTTTTAAGGGTATGGGAACTGCTCCTCAGATTCTGAACTATGTCTCCCTGGACAAGTCCACCGCCACATCCTTGGAGCGAAGCAAGTGCGGAGAAGTGCCAATGGTTTACAGGGAACTCCAGAAAGTTGGAATACGGCTTCAGGGTAGGATGCCCTATAATTTACCATAAAGGGCTTAGGACAATCATATTCCAACTTTCTGGCTTTTACTGTAGGGTCAGGTAGGATACCCTATAATTTACCATATAGGGTTTAGGACAATCATATTCCAACTTTCTGGCTTCTACCTTATTGCTAGAGACTCCACGGGGCCCCTTAGTTTAGGAATACCTAGGGTTCCTTTAAGGGGAGCTTTTACCTTAGGGTCAAGGGTTGCGAGTCAGAAAGATCTTGAGGACCCGGGAGAGGCTCAGGTTCGACAGCTTCGGAGGTTTAGGGTTTAAGGTTTAGGGTTTAGGGATTAGGGTTTAGGGTTTAGGGATTAGGGATTAGGGGTCGTGAGGATTCATGAGGGGTTTAGGGGTTTAGGGGTTTAGGGGTTTAGGGTTTAGGGTTTATTCCCAAAAGGGAGCTATAGGATTCATGAACATGACCGCACCAGAGATGGCACAGTTTTACTGCAGTTGCATGTGTCTGACTATACTCAACTCTTCACGCCCGCCCCGGTGTCCACTGGCAGTCGGGGAGCGTCTTTCTTCATAAAGCCCGAATACGCCGGGGTGCGTGTCCCTAAACTCAGGCCTGAACCCTAAAGAGTGCCCAGGGCGCGTACGCCGCCGTTCCTGGCCTTGAGCTGGAGGAGCTGCAGAGCGTGCTGAGGCGGGGTAGCATGAGATTTATATTGTGCAGATGGTCCTCTGGTTGCAAATCTGCTTGAGCGCTAAGGGTTTAGGGTTTAGATTTAGGGTTCAGGGTTTGGGGTCTAGGATTAGGGGATTTGGTTGCATAGTCGCAGCAATAGCCACATGTACTACCAACACAGCCAGCGTCCCTGTCAAACATGGTTGTTGCTACCATGCCGGCCTCAGTATCCGTGTCAGTTTCGTCCTGATCCTCATCCTAATCCTCACCCTCATCCTTCTCACCTCCTCGCCCCCCCATCCTCCTTCTCCTCCTCCTCTTCCTCGTCATCATCCTCATCCTCATCACCAGTACCAACGTCATCGTCCTCATCCTCATCCGCCTCCTCATCTTCATCACCATCACCATAACCTCACCTTCATCTGCATCTGCATCATCATCATCGTCGTCATCATCATCATCACCACCATCACCATCACCATCTTCAGAATCACCATCGTCGCCGTGGTCGTCATCATCATCGTCATCATCCTCCTCCTCTGCCGCCTCCTCATCATCATGGTTATCTCACAGTATCTCGCAGTATAACTTTATCCGCCATCGGCATGTGAACATCAGTCGTAGATTCGGAGCGCATCGCGGGGCGGGGGGCTTTCGTCGGCATTATCAAATCGAAGATCACATGCACCTTCAGACCTGTTAAGTGTTAAGTTTAGCTCGGGTCACTCATCCAGTGCTTTTTTTTTCAAATTCAGAAGGCTTTTATCGGTGCTCTTTGCCGTCCTTTTCCCTGCACCATGCCGGAACGGTGCAGTTGTTGTTACCCGCCTGTGGCAGTTGTGTTATGGACTTTGCCTACCTCTGGTTAGATACGGTCGTCATCCGGAGCTTGAAGACCAGGGAGTTCAGTAGGGTGCTCCAGTTTGATATGAACAACCCGAAATGCCGAACAAGCGTATCATAGCTTCACAGTTTTCTTTAGGACTTAGGGTTTGGGGTTCGGATTTGTGCCAGGGCTCATCGAGGAAGAATCCCTCTTTACCGTATTACCTGTCCAATCCGGCCACAGAAAACCTAACACTCCAAACCCCAAGCGCGCAACCGCACGCCCTCTACACCTCTACCTAAGGCCTAAGGCCAATTCCAAACTCTCACACCCTGTAAAAGCGGTTATCTCTCAATTACCCCAAACCTATAGGCCCAGCACGGAAGATTCGCAGTGGCTTGGGGTAAACAAGATCAGTGGAGAGCTTTTCCATGAAACTGAAACCGTGGACCCGAAGTTGCTAATGACACCAGCGGTAGAATAGAACAGGAAAATCGAACATATCATGCAGCATATCATATGATAACATGTCATATGCCAGCACAACATACTGTCCATCGACTATACTGCATGATAATACAATTTAATACTATAATATAATAAAGCAAACTATAAACTGCAACAATATGTTACCCTTCAGTTCGGACCGAGCCAGAGGAGGGAAAATGCATAGTCTTAGCTAGAGGCAAGTCACTTCCATGGCACTTTCCCAGTGCAAGCGTCTCAGCGGATGCTTCCGAAGTCTGTCTTGCACAGCCTCTCCGCACCTTGCGGTACGCAGCATGCGAAGTCTGACTGAAGCTCATATCTCCTCTGTGCAACGGCTTCCCCGACAACAGCGGATGCAAATCGGCAGGGACCATCTACACGACCTTGCCCAGCCTACTCGAGCATCCAGGCCGTATTCAAAATTCCTGAGACACCAGCTAAGCAGGAAGTTCGTCCCGGCACCTGATCAAGGACAAAGCGAGACGTGCTATGCCCATGCTATCGCATCCGCAACTCACTCTGCACTCTTGCGGGTCGTTCGTCGCGACGGTGGCTACCCGGACTTCGAGGACATTCGAGACGACATCATTCACAAGTTTGAAGACCGCGTCAGCCGCTCCGACCACGCTGTGTTGCGATATGTGTGTAGAAAGTATGGCTTACGCTATGAACGAGTTCTATTCCCGGACGCTCGTGAAGCAGTAAGGCCAGGTCGCGCAGTAGTTGCATCCTTCAGTCTATCAGCACAAGGATGGCAAAAATTCGAAGATTTTTTCGGATGCGAAGACGTGGCGTTCTACGCAGGAAGCACATCAAGCGACAGCTCTGCTCTGGCGACGGTTTTGCCAACGAAAGCCAAGAAGCTGAGGAGGTCACATCCATCAGCGACGATGACGATATTGTTGACGACAATGTCGTCGACGTCGGCGGGGCAGGTCATTCGGTCACATACGTCAGAGACGATGACAACTACATGACGTTGATGAACTCCTGGGGCCCAGATTGGGTGCAGGAGGTCGTTGAGTTTCAGCGACATACGGGGCATGACTTTGCCATGATCCCGCGCAAAGTCTGTGTCAAAGAGCAGAGGACCCGAGGTCTTTGGGGCTGCAGAACATGCTGTCAGACTTACGCCCACCTCGCCACGCTTCGTTTCGCGGCGGCCAACGGCCATCTTGAACCTTGCCAAGGACGTGCGGACAGACCTCAACACCTGCGCAGCAAGGGTTTCAGGAGGGCTTGGAAAGTCAAGATCAACAGGCCAGCGATCAACGCTGTCCTCCACCTGACGAAGGAGGACAAGGCCTTGCTCAACAAGCGCGGCAACAAGCTCCAGCAAGAGCTCGGGGTCCCTCGGCCGCGCAAAGCAGTGCGACAGATGTTTTTGAAGGCCTCCAAGGAGAAGCAGAGCGGGTTACGCCGTGACAAGGCTACCAGCTCCTCTCAAGCAGTGGCTCCTTGCAAGGCTGGCCCTTCGTCCGAGCGCACCAAGCATCCTTACTGCACCGACGTCCCCATGACGTTCAACGAGCAGACGGAGCTCTGGACTTGGAAGTGCAGCCGTTGTGACGTTGAGTTCCAAGGCGAGGAGGCCCGCAAACTTGAAGATCAAGGACGACGCCATGTCAAGAAGCATCACGCCAAGGTGGTGAGCAGCCCAATTTTCAAGTTCAAGGGCAAGCTTTGTTGGCCATGCACCGTCTGCAAATGCAAGGTCTATGCGGACAACAAGGCAAGGCTCAAGGACAAAAGGCGGGGTCACATCATCAGTTTCCACTCTGATTGCAACATTAGCCGATTAGCCAGTTCCTCACCCTCGGGGGCAAGCCTGGGGGCACACAGAGGCCAGGACCCAAAAGGGTCAAAGCTTTGCTTGACGCCGCGAAGGAGCGTCTCGTCGCTGAAGGAATCGAACCCAATCCTGGACCATCAATATGTGGTGGTGAGTCGCACGATGAGTTCCGGCTTGAGTATGTCAACGTCAACGGCTACATCAACGCTGCGGTCGCTATCGCCAACCTCCGAAAGCAGAGCACCAAACCGCACATCTTCTGCATGGCTGAGGTCAAAGCAAACAACACCCAGCGAAACTCCCTTACCGGGCAGATGAGACGCTTGGGTTATCGGAGCTTCTGGGTGCACGAACCTGACGGGACGCGCACTAGAAAGAACCAGGCTATCGCTGCTGGCGGCGTCATGGTTGCCGTGGTTGATACGATGGCCTGCGCAGTCCTGGACAAGTGGCAACACACGCAGGGTGAAATGATTCATCTTGACTTGGGCTCTTCGTTCTTGACTGTCGCTTGGCGAAGACCAGGTGGGGAAAGAGACCAGTACGACGCGGAGGCCAATACTCTTAAGTTGTATGCCGCCTCCAAAGCTTCTACCTGGCTGATTGTTGGCGACCAAAATGATCTCCCAGGCACCCCATGCTGGTCTGCTGACCTGCACCTGATGGCGCCAAAGGATGACGACGACAACTTCATTGCTTCGAGATGGGAAGGAAAAAGGTGCGTGGACTGGGCGGCGGGCAACTGGCGAACAGACTGGAACGCCTCCTATGGCCTGGACAAGTCATCCTGCAGGGCGCATGGCCTCGTCGACGAAGCGCCGCCTACCAAATGGTCCCTACTAGGCACTGGAGGCCCCTGATGGTGTTCTTCCTGCCGCTTGGAAGGCTCACATAGCCGACGCCTTCAAGCAGCCGCCGCAGTGGAAATCTGAGGTCGACGACCAATGGTCTTAGCTATGCGCGTGGGCCGAGGACGCGCTGCGATGTGCCCACCATCGTGCTTCTCAGACGGCCGCTAGTCAAGGGCCCTCACCTGCAGGCGACTGTGACAGTGAGAGGCCCTCAGTCTCCAGAAGCATCAGCAAGGCGTTCAGATGCAAGGGCAGTTTGGCTCAATGCCGCTTACGAAAGCAGGTCAGGGGGCTTAACTTTGGCGAAGATGCCGCGAAGCTTCAGCAACTGGGCAATTTCCTGGGAAGGCTCTTGGAGGCTAGACGTCAACAAGGCAAGCGGGGCATCGAACCGGGGCTGCGACGCAGGATCTGGGCCAGCTGGCCTGCTGATTTAGCCCGCTCAGACCTCGATGTGGCCATTGCTGAGATTTAGCACCGCCTGACTACGGAACAAGGCAGATGGAGAAGGGCTGGCCTGCGGAAGTGGCGGCTTCGAATGGCAAAGTGCGGCAAAGAGGCCACCACGTGGCTTCATGGTCGCTCGTCCCTTCTGCCACCCGCCATCGCGAGGGCGAAAGAGGGTCAAAACCAGGTCGCTACCACTACTACCGAAAGTCTGAGTTTCCTCATGATTTCTGGCGTGAAGTTTGGGACAGGGACACTGTGCAGACCTTGCCCTACGACATTGATGCTGTAGACACTTTTGAGTGGAGCAGTGGCGCTGGCCCCCTTAAGGCCGCTGAGCTTCAACGAACTGCCAAAACCATGAAAGGTGGACCCGCTGGCCCCGACGGCTGGAGCGCTGCGGAGCTGTCATCGCTGCCGTTCGTCTTCTGGGAGCAGCTGGAGAGGCGACTTGAAGAGTGGCACCTGCGAGCTCAGTATCCAAAAGCTTGGACGCACGCACGTATGGTCTGTATCCCTAAGGACCATTTGGAGCCCGACGCCGATCATGTCCAGGTAGATCGCATGCGCCCAATTTCTGTGCTGTCGGCAGTCTACCGTGTTGTTATCTCCACTTGGATGTCAAGGAGGGAGATGCGCGCTTGGCTTGATCACATCATGCCTGAGGACTTCCAGGGCGGCTTGCAAGGTCGATGCGCAGAAACCGGTGTTCGAAGACTGGACGCGGCCTATCACCTGCACCCCAACATCCTGGTCAGCATGGATTTTTCCCTGTGTTTCGATATTACATCAACCCCAGGCTCCCGTTGGCGGTCTTGCAAGGGCTAGGCGCTCCAACAAGGATGCTCGGCATCCTCCAGCACACATGGCTGGGCCAAGAAAGATGGCTTCAATTGGGGGGAGTCACGCTCGCAGAAGGGCAGTGGGCGGGCACATCCCTGCCGCAAGGCTGCCCCGCTGCACCCATGGGTCTGACCGCACTGCTCCGACGACCCGCCATGGCTCTGCATCGTCTGCTTGGAGACCGCCTGACGCAGGTGATTTACTTAGATGATCGCAATCTGGTGGTCCGTACTGCTCAGGATGCCCAGGTGGCTATCCAAGCGTGGCAGCGCTACTCGCTCGAGCTCGGCCTCGTAGAGAACATGCGCAAGCTCCGCGTGATCACCACAAGGACCCTGGGCAACAACAGGCACTGCGCCGCTTGGGCATCGACGTGCACTCGGAGGCCAAGGTTCTGGGTGCCACCTTCTTCTCCCACTTCGAGACGGCGCCGGAGGTCAGTGAGAGGGCGGAGCACACGGACAAGATGACTGGGCGCCTTCGAGCCTTGCCCGTTGGACAGGCGGGCCGAGAGCTGATGTACTGTACCAGGGTAGCTCCTGCTGCTTCTTGGGGTTTTTGGTCCGAGCAGCACTGCGCGGCTGCCGACACCGCAGCGAGAAGGGCCGTCAACATCACGTCATCTGCCGCCCGTGCGCTGTGGCAGGTTTTGGCGGGGCACCCTTACGACATGAGGTTTTTCTTTCGGCAGTCAACCATCCTCAGCTTCTTGCGGGCAGAGTGGTTCTGGAGACGACGCGGCATTCAGCTCCCAACAGGCTTGTGGACTCAGCAGGTCAACGCGGACTTCAGGGCCCTCGGCTTTGAAAAGACCGGCCCATGGCGCTGGCATCACCCTGAAGCTGGCGATGTGAAGTGGTTCGAGGGGACCGCGCAGCAAGAAATCAGCAAAACCGGGCACACTCTTCGAGAAGCTTGGCGACGTAGCAAGCTTAGGGCATTCCTCCGCATGACACGTCATGAAGCCACTGAACTGCAGGCTCAGGGCGCAGTGTACTGCGAGACTCAAGTCAGCATGACACGGCGATTGTATGCACAAGCTACCGTTGAACAGCGTGGAGTCCTCCTTGCTGGCGCGTGTAGTGAAGCCAACTATGCTCAGAAGAAGCGTGGAGCTCGTGATGGTTTTTCCCGCCTTGTTAGATGCACTCTCTGCCAGGAGCGCGTGGTCCCTAATTGGGAGCATGCGGCGTGGTGCTGCCCGCACTGGCAGCAAGGACGTCTTCATCATCGAGGTGACCCTTGGACGAGGCGATTGGGCTGGGCCGCGCCTGCTGATTCTTTCAGTGAGGCCACGGCTAGGCTTCAGTATCTTGGACGCACCCGTGAAGGCTTGAGGCAAGAATTTGGCTTCGAACGCGGGCGACCGCCAGAGCCATGAGCAGTTGGACGTCCATGACTGGTTCTGCCACTACATGGAGTAAAACTTCCAGCGGGGCCCAGATTTGGGGTGACCGGGGCTTCTTCAAGATAGCTGGCCCGTGGGTGCTCGACGAGGAAGGCCCAATGCAGTTCTTCGAAATCTTCTGGTTTCAAGGTGACCGCTCCGAGCAAGAACAGGCGAGCTATCGTTCTCTGCATACTGGAAGATTGGAGTATCCTCGATCCAGCAAGGTGCGAGCGCGGAAGAGCGGAAGATCGGGCTGAACGAGTGACCCTAGGCCCTGCACCCCAAAAGCCAAACCCTAAACCCTGAAACCTGGTCTAGTCGTTACACTTGCTAAAGCACCGAGCCGTCCTTCAGATCCTCAGAGCCATTTGAACGTGCTGCTAACGAGATATGGAAAGGATGGCAGGCACGCGGACAGCCTTCATTGAGCCCTCCTCAAACCCGAAGCCCAAAACGCTTAATTAACCAAACCCCAAAACCCCAAACCCGAAACTTTAAACCCTTACCCCCAAGAGACCTTGGCTCTCCAGGCCAACAGGCTCGGGCTTGGCCAAGGCGCTGCGAAGTGTTTACGAGCAGGCGCAGCTTTCGATGCAAGGGTTTTGTATGCTCTTTAGATTTTTGTTTACAGGAAGGGTGTTGGTTTACGGAATTTGGTAATTTGATTTTAAGCTGTTGTTGTGTGCTGTCCAGGCTTGCAAGGGCTTTTATTGGGTATTCTTACAGGGTTTTCTGGGTTTACGGGCTTCTCATGTCTGGTACTGAGGGTTCAGCAGGTAAGGTTCATGCCTCAGGGTGAGACTTAGGGTTTAAGGTTTAGGTTTCCAGGGTTCCAGGGTTCTTTGAAAATTTGCGTCTTGGGCTTGTAGCTCTCGGACCAGGTGGTGCCACTTGGAGACTTTGAAGTTGTGTGTTTGTATGTGTCAGGATGGCGTTGTGCCGTGCCGGGGCTGTTGTGCCCGTTGAGCCTACATCTGTTTCGGATTTGGTTGAGGTCCAACATGATTCCCTCAAATGGACCCAGTCTAGACAAGAGCCTCAAAGGAGTTTCATGTCACTTTCATCACGGAGAGTAAACAGTAAAACTAAGCAGCCAAAGGCTTTACGATCAAGGTTGGGCCAGGTTGGGGATCCCCCAATACCACCCCTCCCCTCTCCAATGTTAGTGACCCCAAGACGAGTACCCCAAATCCTAATTTACCCTATGCTGTTGTAGAACCCGTGCAGATCCCTGTTGGATCCCTTCAAGGACCCTACAAAGATCCTTTGTAGAACTCTATGGTGACACTGCAGGGCAGTTGCTTTTTCTCATGTATTGCTGGAAGTGTGGAGCATATCTATAAAAAACAAGAACTGCAAACCCAAAGAGCGAGGCTTTCTGCATTGTTACACCTCGTAAAGCCCAGAACTCTTAATGCTTTGGGGTTCACAAAGCTTGGACACAGAACTTGGAACTCAGTCCCGGACGTCCCTTGTGCAGCCCTCAGCGGGTTTGGGGTGTATAGGAGTGGTCCCATCCTGGCTTTACAGTACCAGCCCGACGCCCTAACTAAACCCCCAATGTTACGTCCCTACAACTAACAGCCTGCACCTGAAACTCTAAAGCCTGCCTTGAAGGCTGAAAGCCCCTCAACTCAAACTCTCCGGAAACATCCCTGGAAACCCCAAAGCTCTTCAACCCCGTAGCCCTCGAGCCTCAAGCCGTAAACCGCATCGGACGTGAGTTTGTTGCTTCCTCAACCCCCATCCCCAAAGGAAAAAGTAGCCTGTTTGGCTCATGGAAGCCCAATCCAGCTCGTATAGAACCCTTGCGAAACCCTTCATAGCACCGTCACATGCTACATCCTTTGAAGGCCGTGCCACCTTTCCGTCTGCCTTCAGAAGCAGCGGAGTATGGGGTCCCAGAAAACAGGAGGCTTCAAGGGGCTGAATAGTACGTCATCATACATCTTAATAACATAGGTTAATATCTACAGCAATTGTAAAATCCTTCCAACTTCACAGTAAAATGTACTCACAAGCCCCGCAATCCTGTTCTGGTTTGTTTTTCCAGTGCCCCTGTAGCGTACTGCGCAAGAGGTGATGCAGGTCACATGAGGTTCTGAATCTTGATGCAGTTTAACGCAACTCGCAACTCGTGGGAGTATTGTAGTATCCGTCAGCATGGTTTGAGATGTAGCTCGAAAACAGCTTGGAAGGATCACTGTAGCGGCTGTAGCGGTTTCGTTTCAGTTCTCGCGAGAGGCCCATGTATGGAAAACATGCGGCCTGAACTCAATCCTGGTGCAGACCCTGAACCCTGAAGCCTAATATAGGGGCCTTAGTAGTTACCAAGACTATTTTGGTGGTTCCGTATTATGATTATAGTATAATATACCCCGAAACCCGAGTCCAATGATTAAGGCCCCTATATTAGGCCATGAACCTCGGAAAGCGAATCTACTAAAATAAAGGCCGGAAGAATTACCAGTACTATTCCTTAAGGCCCCCGATACAGAAAGCCTGGTGAACATTGGCCCGGAATCCTACACCCTAAACCACAAAAAAAACAAACCCTGAACCCTAAACCCAGCTGAAAGCTGCAGCCCTGTGCCCTAACTCTAAACCACAACACCCAAACAACAAACCGACGGTTGTTTTACTGAACCCCCACACCCGGAACCGGAACCGTGCAACACCGAAACCCTGAAAACCAAAACCTTGCACGCGAAAGTCCCAGAACCCTAAAACCAAAAATGCTCGACCATAAAGAAAGCCTTAAAGCCCTCCAACACGGAAGCACTGAAATCTCTAGGTAAACCATAAACCCGAAAAGCACGAAAACGCTCAAGCCCAGAACCCTAGCCTAGAGAGCTAAACCCTTCGCAAACCCCCCTATACAACCATGATACACCGTTTAATTCCGATTAACACCACACTAAAGCCACATTACCGATAAAGCACAGAAGCTAAACAACAGCCTGCGTGACATAGACAACAGGAAACACCCCAACCCGAACCTGAAACCCTAAACCCTAAAACGTAAACCCTAAACAACTACCTTGAACCCCAAACCCTAGAAGAGCCCTAAGGGGCTTTGACGGAAGGCTTGAAGCCTTTATGGTCCATTAAAAAAATCCCTAGAAGAGCCTTAGCCGAGCCCAAATACAACCTTAAAGGAGCCCATGGAAACAGCCTTGAAAGACCATTAAGAGAACCCTTAGAAGAGCCTTCGCGAGCAACAAAAGAGCCCTAAGAGCTCCGATTGAAGCCTTGAAGCCTCTCGACACCCTAAACTCGAAACCTTAAACTCTAAACCCCAAACCCCCCCTTCCCTTGAAGGGATTCTGTCTCGGCAGGCGGAAAAAGGCGTTAAAAGCCAACAAAAACCAAACCCCCTAAGGGTTTATTCGGGCGGTGCCTTGGCGTCCTCTGCTTGCTGAAGGAGTCAAAGCTGCATTCCACTAAAAAACGAGGTCTAAACCCCAAGCCCCAAACCCTGAACCCCAAACCCCTAAACCCTAGACCCTAAACCCTAAACCCTAGACCCTAAACTCTCACCTCTAAACCCTAAGCCCTAAACCCTAAAACCCTAAACCCTAAACCCGAAACCCCAAACCCCTAAACCCTAAACCCTAAACCCCTAGACCCCAAACCCCTAGACCCCAAGCCCTAAACCCCTAAACCCCTAAACCCTATATAAACCCCATAAACCCTATAAGCCCTATAAACCCTATAAACCCTATAAACCCCTAAACCCCAAAAGCCCTAAACCCTATAAGCCCTATAAACCCCTAAACCCCATAAACCCTATAAACCCTATAAGCCCTATAGACCCTATAAACCCTAAACCCCATAAACCCTAAACCCTAAACCCTATAAGCCCTATAAACCCTACAAACCCCCTAAGCCCTAAACTCTAAACCCTAAACCCTATATACCCTATAAGCCCCATAAACCCCATAAACCCCAAACTCTGTACAACCGAGGCACTGCCTCGTGGTTTGGGCGGAAAATCGGCCCAGCTGGAGAAACTCCCGAAGTCAGGTGCTGTTGGGGTGTAAACTGCAATAATTACTAACACTAGTTTGAGGGTTCCTTGTTATAGTATTGTGGGCACCAAAACCCTATTCTAGTCATTATGGCCCCTTTATTGGGGGTTCAGGGGTTTAGGATTTAGGGTTTCAGGCTTTGTTGGGGTTTAGGGGTTTAGGGTTTAGGGTTTAGGGTTTAGGGTTGAGGGTTTAGGGTTGAGGGTTTAGGGGTTAGGGGTTAGGGGTTAGGGTGGTGTTTAGGGGTTTAGCGGTTGGGTTTCAGGCTCTGTTGGGGTTTGCGGTTCCTTTCAAACGGGACCTACAAGGGTTCTGAAATGGGGGTTTCAAGGGTTCAGGGCTCTTTGCTTGGGGTCTAGGGTTTTATGGGTTTAGGGGTTTAGGGTTTCAAGCTCTTTGGGTTTAGGGTTTGGGGTTGAGGGTTCCTTCAAGGATACCTAAAAGAGTTCTAACGTAAGGGTTTGGGGGTAAGGGTTCATGCTCTCTAGATTAAGGTTTCTGGTTTATGGTTTGGCATAAACCCTAAACCCCTAAACCCCTAAACCCCTAAACCCTGAACAACCCTAAGCCCCTCAACCCTGAATCCTAAACCGCAAAACCCTAACCCCTGGGGGTAGCCCCTCAACCCTAAATCCTAAACCCCAAACCCTAACCCCTGGGGCCTAGGGGTTAGGGTTTGAGCTCCTGAGTCCTGGCGCCTGTGGGGCTCTAGCTTAGGGCTTTTTCGTGGCACAGGGGCCTTACAGGGGCTGTAGTAGGGTTCCTTTGAAGGATTTAGTATAGGGGTTACTGTAATATGGGTACTGTACGGTATACTCGGAGGTCCAGGGGACTTAGTAAGTCGGTTAGAAGTAAGGTTATGATAGGGATAACTCCATTTAGGGAACTTATAGCTCTAGTTCCTTTTTGGGATTACCTTTTAGGGTTCTCTATATGCGAACCCCAAAAAGGAACTACTTTGGGGCCTTAGGGTACTTATAACCTACTTACTAAGTGTCCTGGGCCTCGAAGTAGGGTCCATGATTTTAGGCGCGGGGCGGTGGGGGCCTCCGGGCCTTGACTCTATAGATCTCAAGCTCTTTCGGGTTGTGCCTAAGCCTCTTACGGGGAGTAGGTTCTTATAGGGTTATTCCAGGGTGTGGGGTTTGGGGTAGGGGGTTTGGTGTATTTTTTTTTTTTTTGGGGGGGGGGGGGGGGGAGAATAAGTTTTTAGGGTCAAGACTTTA